GTAAACTTTGGTTATCGGTAAATTTTAGTTATCGGTAAGTATCGATACATATATATATAAGTGTTCATACTTATTTCACTGTGGAAAACATTAATTTAATGTTATCTTTTGTGTGAGTTTAAAGATATTAATTTAATAATTATATGCGTCTAATGATTTATTTTTATGTTACGGTATATATTATTATTAAATTAAAATAATAAACATAGATATTACATATTTATTATTATCTTTGGTTAAAATTGTTAAATTTAAATTCTAAATAATATTTTATAAAATATCTAAACAATCAAATAATTTTTTGTGTAAATGAAATTATTAAATTAATATTGTAGGTGGAAAACATGAAACACTATTAAAAAATTTTGAACCATAAATTACATAACTTTCAACAAAGTATCGATACATGTACAAAAAGTATCTATACTTTCAACATATCAGGTAGTCTTACCGGTTTTGTCATAATAAAACTAGTTTTGTCATATTTGTACCTGTTATATTATAAAATATCGATATATTTTTATAAAAAGGATCGATACTTTCAACATATCAAGTAGTTCTTTACCGATTTTGTCATAATGAAACTGGTTTTGTCATATTTTTACCTGTTATATTGTAAAGTACGATACATTTTTATAAAGTATCGATACTTTCAACATATCAGGTAGCTCTTTACCGATTTTGTCATAATGAAACTGGTTTTGTCATATTTTTATCTGTTATATTGTAAAGTATCGATACATTTTTATAAAAGATCGATACTTTCAACATATCATGTAACTCTTTACCGGTTTTGTCATAATGAAACTGATTTTGTCATATTTTTTACCTGTTAAATTGAAAAGTATCAATACATTTTTATAAAGTATCGATACTTTATAGGCGCTATTACTGCTTTTCTTTTAAATTTCAAAAGTGTCAATACTTATTTAAATGGAATCGATATTTTCAACATATCATGTGGTAGTTTAATGTAATAGGTATCACCTATTTGTTTTACCTTTTACATTATTAGCAACCTTAAAAAAATCGGTAGGTATTTTAATGTAATAGGTAACACTATTTTTTTTACCGTTTACATTATTAACAACCTTAAAAAAAACCGGTAGGTATTTTAATGTAATAGGTAGTACTTATTTTTTTTTTACCGTTTACACTATTAACAACCTTAAAAAAAACCGGTAGGTATTTTAATGTAATATATAATTTAAATTTTTTGTTAACATTTATTCCTAAGGTAAGTTTATCATAACTAATAACAAATTAAGTAAGTAATTACCTATTTTGTTATATAAACGCTACTTAGTATGTTATTATGTTTGATAATGTTTCCAGAATTAACCGATTATGTTATCCTTGGTAACATTTTAAGCGTTTACCTAATATGTTGTAATAACAAATTAAGTAATTAACCTATTTTATTATATAAGTGCTATCTATTACGTTATATAAGCGCTACATAATATGTTATTGTGCTTGATAATGTTTTCAGTAATTAACCGGTTATGTTATCATTGGTAACATTTTAGGCGTTTACCTTATATGTTGTAATAACAAATTAAATAATTAACCTATTTTATTATATAAGCGCTACCTATTACGTTATATAAGCGCTATTTAATATGTTATTGTGCTTGATAATGTTTCTAATAAATAACCGATTATGTTATCTCTGGTAACATTTTAAGGGTTTACCTAATATGTTGTAATAACAAATTAAGTAATTAACATATTTTATTATATAAGCGTTACCTATTACATTATATAAGCGCTACCTAATATATTATTATATTTAATAATATTTCCAGTTAAATAATATAACATAACCAATCTATATTTTAACGAATTACTTATTTAACCAATAACATAATTTTTTAACCGTTTTTTAATCGTCATACAGTATAACTTCGAGTTTACTTAACAAGCACTTTTATTAGATTTTCAAGCCTGCAACCTACAGTGGGTAGGTGGGACTCTGATTGTGTCATTCCATTGACAAATATATTACTATAGTACATCATAAGAAACTTCAAAAGCAAAAGCATGTCAAACCCTTTCTTGCATATAATCAAAGTGGGGTGAAAAAAGGACAAAGGTTTCATTCTTCAGAACTTCAAATCAAAAAGACTTACTTAGCACTTTGGTCGGCATATTATATTAAAACCTCTAAAAAAATATTTTTTTTGGATCAATATCTCTCAAACAATAGTAATTAGAAAAATAATCTCAAAACGTTATATAAGATGATCTCGTATTTCGTAAAAAACAAGATCAAACCTCCGACTTTAAGAAAAGTGATTTTATACATTTATTATTATTTTTATCTAATATTAAATTTTTATTTAAAAAAATTGATGGGTCTCGTGTCCTATATAACGCGAGGTCCATTAAACACGTTTTATAGGATGCGAGAAAATCTTACCCAAACACTTTGAGGGTATTTTCTAACCAATGATGTTTGGTAGGTATTGGTTAAAAAAATAATTTTTTGGGGTTTTAATATAATAACACCACTTTGGTCTCTACCCAAAATGGAGAATAAAAAACAAAAGGAAAAAAAGGGAACTTTTATAGGTAGCCTTCCACACTTAATTATTTCAGTGTAATAATTATCTACCACGGATCAAAATATGTTTTGAAACCCATATTTCTAAGTGATGGTTATCTATATAAATTTGTGTTGTTGAACTGTGATTAGATGAAGGGTATACTGATTTTACAAATTTCAATTCCCTACTTTTAATTTTTTTATAGTATATTTTATAAGTGCAGTTACAATCAATGCATATATGAATAGCTACTATTAGAATCAATCATTACAAGTATGAATATGATCCCTATTTTGGTAAGAAATTAAACCAAAATATAATTTGCAGATAACTCACACCTAGTTTACATAGAGTGAGATTGGAACTCGAAATCCATGCCTTTTTTGTTTACACGGTTTAAAATAGTCCAAAACCCCTAAGAAATAGTCCAAATTTTACTCTCCTGCTGGGGATGCATAAGTTATTTCACCAACCATTGCAAAGGGTAAGCTAGAAATCATATCCACGTTATTAGCAATTGGAAAATATCTAAAAAGTAAGATTATGCAAGGATGCGTTTTGATCGATTGATTCCCCATTAACACTATCAAGTAACAGCCAAACTAATAGGCAATAGCAATAGCAAAAGAAACCTTCGGTGCTTGATAGAAGTTATCCTTTATTTTCCAGGAAGTACCAGTTTCATTTCACGAAGGGTGTCAGGTGAAAAAAACATAAGCCAATCCACAGATTAGAGAAACAATTTCATTTAACTAAGCAAATGTCGCAAGAAATTGAGCTACTAACCTGAATGGAGAACTTGATAAATATTGAACTGTAATACGATAAATTTTCAAGTCTGCTTAAATGAAAATGGAAAAGAAAAAGCTTGATAATTTCATTAATACTAACCTTTAATCCAATGCAGTAATCTCATCATAATACTGTGCCGTTGTGAGGTTTTACAGAGTTTGTGGCATTTCCCCACCGGAAAAATCGGCTATAACAGTGAGCACCTGCAAGGACCTTGATGATGGCATATAGGCCTGAGTTATTGGGACTTGCGTTTGATGAAAGCCCAACAAAACACAATATCGACTTAAATCCAAAAGCCAACAAAGTTAAGGAGCCCAAGGGGCAGAACTATAATATACGCTCGCAAAACGTGGGATATGTTATATGAGATGGGCAAGAAAATGATGGCGATGTACCATTCTGGTTTAAAGTTCAATGCTTTAAGCTCTTGAATGAAAATGATGGCCACCTTTGTATCGTCTTCGCCTTCTTTTCTTTTAGCTCCATTTGTTTCACACCCTTCTTCTACTTCGTCTTTGTTTTTCACAAGGTTACGGTCTTCATCTGGGTTCAGATTGTCTTTTGTAGTTGCTCCTTTGTGTTCTCGACGAGCCAATTTTATGGCTAACTCTCTCGCTAGCGGCAATCTCGGCCTTACTCAGCAGCCAATATCGAACAACCCAAGGTGACCCCCTTTTTATTTTGCTATGTTGAGATTAAGCAAAATTGGGTTTTAGATTGAGGGTTCTAGATTGAACAATGCTAATGGAGTATTTATCTTTCTCAAGAGAAAATGAACTTTTTGTTGGTTGTTAGGAGATGCTTTTTTTTTTCCTTTCTATTTGGTATAGAATTGACCTTTGAGGGCTATAAGCTCAATTCTGAAACTAGTGGAGTAAATAATATCAGCTTGATTTTATAAATGTTTGATGTTTATATGATAAGATCATCGTAATTAGATCCTTGGCTTCACTTTTGGTTTCAATATGTAAAGGTTGTCTCTGTCCGTGTTTCATTTTGGTGAAATACAAAGAAATTATACTAAAATGGTTGTTTTTTCTTTTGTGAAAATGCTGTAAAGATAGTTTTTTGTTAGTCGTACTTTTGTTTTCTAAATGATTGACCTTTGAGGGCTATAGGCTCAATTGACAATTCTGGAATTAATGGAGTAAATATTAGCTACACTTTAGTCACTGATTAATATTTATACGTTAAGATCATCTTAGTTAGATTCTTTGGCTTAACTTTCGGTTTCTATATGTGTTAAATGAAACAGAGTTATTAGATGGTTAAGAATTTGTTAATGTTTGTTATCTGGATAGTTAGAATATTGTCAGATACTAGGCCATATATACCTTACACTTGTAAAGGGTAAATCACCTTTGATTCATTCTTGATTAGTAAAAATCAGTTTCAATTCTCTTTACCTTCTTGCAATTTTAATCCCAAGTTCATTAAAGCTAGTCGCTGCTCTTCATCTCCATCATACGTTGGCCACCGGACATTCATCCCTCAGCACCATGCCTCCTTCTTCACAATATGCGAAGGTTGTTTCTTTGTGTGTGTTTTCATTGGTGAAATACCAAAAATATGATACTGAAATGGCTGTTGTCTCGTTTGTGAACATGCTGGAAATATCTCTTTTGCTGCGAAAGAGGTTGATGGAGGAGAATGGAAGGGAGACACGCTTGCAATCGGCGTTACTGAGAAAGACATGACCAAGGATGAAAACTCCAAGTTTGAAAAACGATTTTGAAAATGTTAGATGGACTGTTAGGTGGTCTATTATCTGAGGCCTCCTCTGAGGAGGATTTCACAGGGAAAACTGGCCAATCAACAGTTCTTAGACTTCCTGGACTTGGCTCCAAAAGGGTTGGTTTGATTGGTCTTAGACAGCGAGCTTCTTCACCTGCTGCTTTTTGTGGACTAGGCGAGTCTGTTGCTGCAGCCGCAAAGACTGCTCAAGCCAATAGCGTCGCTGTTTTCCTTGCCTCATCAGAAGGCCTCTCACATGAGTCAAAGCTCAGTATTGCTTCAACAATAGCATCTGGTAATGCCTTCATGATATCTTAGTATCATGATTGATGTTCTTATTGGATAGATTGAGATTGGTAGTAGTTTGATGGTTTGCATTTACATAGGGATGGTGCTTGGAATACATGAATTTAATAGTATCAAGTCAGAATCAAAGAAACCACAGCTGAAATATGTGGATATTCTTGGTCTTCGAACTGGACCCTAGTTGGAGAAGAAGCTCAAGTATGCTGAAGATGTTTCTTCTGCTGTAGTATTTAGGAGAGAGCTTGTGAATTCAACAACCAATGTACTTACCCCTGGTTTGTATATGCATTATTCTTGCTTTTTTGTTTAAGATAAGGCTGCGTTTGGTTTTGTTTAAGAAAGAGGAGACAAATCTTATGTGTTAATCTAATGTGCCTTTTTATGCTGCAGCTGCACCAGCGGCAGAGGCTTTGAAATCGCTTCCTCGTACAGTGATGTTCTATCTGCAAACATCTTGACTGCAGAGCAGTGCAAGGAGTTGAAGGTGTGATCTTATCTGGTAGTCGCTGCAGCATTTGATAATCCCCCTCATTTTGTAACACCCTCAACCCATACCCGACCCGGATACGAGTCCAGTATGTCACATTGACTATCAAAAACAATATTCTTAAAAAAAATTAAAAACATTTGGATTTATATAACTAAAATACGATAATATACATAGGTTTATACAAAATTCTTCAAAATGCTCAAAGCATACACAACTTAACAGTTTAATTACATGCCAACAGTCATTTACATAGCAAAATAATCTACTGATTAAGTTGCCTCTGATCTGATAGTTGCAAGAGTAATGTTGTCCAGCTGCTTAACCTGTCTCGTCTACTTTCTCGGATCCTACATGTGAAACACTCACACGCTAAGTAATCGACTTAGTAAGGCAATATAATAATAATAATAATAATAATGAATTGTAATGAAAATACCATAATGAGATGAAATGAAATGAAATTATATACGTAATCAATGCAATTATATCACCATGTTCCTTACATATAAGCATATTACATTAACATTCATGAATTCATATTAATAAGTTTATTGGCCTATGATACCATATTGAGAACCTAAGGTATGTGAGTACTGTGAGATTATGCACTATGTTGTCATCACAGCTCGTATAAATGCACCAAAGTGCCACGTAGAATTGCACCGAAGTGCCACGTAGAATTGCACCGAAGTGCCGCGTAGAATTGTACCGTAGTGCCATATAAGATGTCCCTAAGGACCACGTAGAAAATTCCTTAAGAATCATATATATATGTTAAGGATCAAGTATATTTCTCAAAAGACATCACACATGTTTCAAGGAATACATATATGTCCTAAAGGACCGCATAGACCTTCTACTCTTGGCATGCCAACTATACCTATAGTTCTCATCTACATAACATGGGCTTTTCTCAACTTACATAATATATCACGTAGACATGTCAATTCCTCACCTTCATCACATAGCTCATATAACTTTGCATACATATTCATTTAAACATACTACATAATACACATAGTATGAATTCCTATTACGTTTCATAATATGAGATGAATTATGCATCAATGTATTGAATCTAGACTCATCACAAGTCTAGAACTGGATACACTACGATAATCATGTTATGCATATGCACTCACCTATATTTCTTTGCCTTTCCCTCGATCGATCTTACTGGGCAATTGTTCTGGAACTTGTTTAGGCTCTGTATCTACATAGTAATACATTGATACTTATCAGTATACTAATTAATATATTCTAAACTATCATTTCTTAGGTTAAAAGAAAAGCTATTTTCATCTCATAATAAAGGTATGTATCGATGCACTCTACAGTGTATCGAGCACTCCTAATGTGTGCATCGATGCACTACCAGTGCATCGGTACAAAATTACATTCGATGTTTTCTTTTAAGGGGGTACATCGATGCACTAATTGCATCGATGTCATTTATTTGAGTGCATCGGTACATTGAATGTGTATCGATGCACATAACCCAAAAATATTATTTTTAGCACGAAATCCCTTCATAATCCTCTCAACACTACATAATTCACCTCCTTTTTTTATCCCTAACTTGCATACACTTACTTAAACTAATTATTATCCATTCAATACCTCTAAAACTTAAAAATCCAATCCTCCATATAGAATTTAAGAATCTCACTCAAATTCCAACATGTTCTAATTCCTATTTTAACACTTCCTATTCCTTAATTATCTTGATGACAAGTCAAATCTCACTTCCAATTCTTATTATGAACTCTATTCTAATTTCACTTTTCTACTTCTTTTCTTTAATTCTTCATATACTCCTCATCTGATGGTTTTAAAACAAATTAAACTTCCTTTAAGCTTAGCTATTGTCTAATGGTCATAAATCAACCATAAATTCATCAAGAAATTTACTAACAAGAGATCTTACCTTTAGCTTCGGTCTCACGTATGAAGAAAGGATGTTACATTTCTTCCATTTGTGCTACAAACCCCTGAGTGGACCTATTAAATCCAAGTTAGCATTCGTCAGGAAAGGGTTGACTTTTGACAGGTAATTTCATAGATAGATACACATTCTAGCAAGAAGATTTTTATGATTTGGTTGTAGGAGGAAATAAAACAAGGATAATGCTGAGATGCATCATTTGTTTAGTTTACCACGCAATGCCATAATAGAGAGACATGCCCTTCACTCTGTATTTATACAAACATCTCAAGTATTACCAGTAAAAATGGGATTTCATTTCGCGTTTTTCACTTATTGCTGTGTGCTGTCTATTACCTGAATGATTTGAGCAAGATTTCTTCCATATGCCATTGGGATCATTTTAGCATGAGTGATCGGGATGTATCCCTCCTGTTTATCTTTGTGGATATATATACCTATATGTTTCGGATACTTGTCTTGCATGCTTAGTTTTAAAAAGCGTCGCTTAAGCGCGATTAAAGCGCTAAGCGACTCGAGCGAGGCCTCTGGCGCTTCAGCATAGCAAAAGCACTACGAATTCATTAAGCGGTAGTAATCGGCGCTTTTACAGCGCTTTTAGCAAAGCGCTAATCGACGCTTAATCGCGAATTTAGAAGATAGAATTTTGGGCTTTAGCATATACAATTTTTGGGCTTGTTTAGGGTTTAGCGGGCTATTAGATTATCAGACTTAGATTGGCTTTTAGTTTAGGTGGGCTAGGGTAAAAAATGTGATTGAAATAAGTGGTAATATAAGAGTTTAGAGAACGATTGAGGTTGAGCTTGAGCGGTAAAAAATTCCCAGAGAGCGATCATCTTCCACGCCTCTCGGCTCTCGCCTCACGCTCACGACTCCTGACTCACGAGACACGACTCAAGTTTTGATCTTCATCTTCCTCTCATCTCACTCGAGTCACGCTGCTGCTGCACTTCATCAACCGGTACGTAATTCTGTTGTTTATATACTTATAGTTTATTGCAAAATTGTGTTTTATAGTTTATAGAATACTGTTCTTCTTTATAGCTTATTGCTTTGTCCTTTGTCCTTCTTTAAGTACTTAGTATTACTAAATTTTACATGTAGACTAAGGCAAGCAAAATGCTTGTTAAACTGTTTTATAGTTGTTACTGCCTTACTGGTATAGTTTGTAACTTTGTATACTGGATTACTGGTATTGCTTTCTGTTATTTTAGTTTGACTTTATGTTTAATTTATCTTTTATAGAATGACTTCAATGGCGGGTAAGGCGGGTTCTTCAAAGAACGGGTCAGAAGACCCGGTTAGGAATATACATACAAGATCCGAATAATAAAATCAGCTTTACATGCTCTTTTTGTGGACAAACATTTAAGGGAGGTGTGTTTCGGATCAAACTGCATATGATTTGTGGTTTTAAGGATGCTCGTAAATGTCTAAACTGTCCGGAGCATGTGTGGGAAGAATTAAATGTGTTCATGATGAAGAAACAAACGGAAAAGGCAGAACAACATATGCAAGCAAAAAACTGGATGCACCAACAACAAGCTGATGAATACGATGGTGAAGAAGAAGATGTTGAAATAGGAGGGTCTAGTAGCAAGATGCCCCACCCAAAAAACCAAGGCAAAAAGGTCCTATAGACAGTACTTCACTCCTAATCCTCGAGAAGCAATCAAAGCTAGGAAGGAAGGGAGCAACAAACCATCAATGAAACATGTCGAAAGGACCTTAGGGATAAAGTTGTCATGAGATTGGGAGGTGGTTTTACGATGCAGGGAATTATAAATAATTAAATATTAATGTTTTTTAAGTTTTAAGTTGCTGGAAGTCTTTTTTTTTTGTTTATGCTGATGGAAATATTTTTTTATGTAGGTATTCCTTTTAATGCCGCAACATATGAGAGTTTTCAAATAATTATTGAAGCAATCGGACAGTTTGACCCCGGGATGAAAGCTCCAAGTATGTACGAGTTAAGAGTTCCCATACTTAACAAGTAGAGGAAGTTCAAAACCAAATTGTGGAAAATAAGAAAGAATGGGCAGAAAAAGGTTGTTCAATACTATCGGATGGATGGCGTGATTCCGTTGTTCAAAAAGATATCATCAACTTCCTGGTAAACTCCCAAAAGGGTTCGGTCTTCGTGAAGTCACTTGATGTATCTGATGTTTCAAAGGATGCTGATTTGTTGGTTCATGTTCTAAATTGTGGAAATAAGAAAGAATGGGCAGAAAAAGGTTGTTCAATACTATCGGATGGATGGGTGATTCCGTTGTTCAAAAAGATATCAAACTTCCTGGTAAACTCCCAAAAGGGTTCGGTCTTCGTGAAGTCACTTGATGTATCTGATGTTTCAAAGGATGCTGATTTGTTGTTTCATGTTCTTGATAAAATGGTGGAGGAAGTTGGTGAAGAGAATGTGGTACAGGTGGTGACTGATAATGCATCAGCTTATGTGAAGGCAGGTAAGTTGAGTTGCAACTTAGTCTTTTGATAATCTTTTGACTAATGTCATCTACTCATCTTATTCCTCTAATTTTGTAGGGAAGTTGTTGGAAGCTAAAAGACCACATCTCTATTGGACACCATGTGCTGCACACTGCCTAGACTTGATGTTGGAGGATATTGGCAAACACATTCCTAGGGTTAAAAATGCTTTAAAAAAGGCCATTTACTCAAATGGATATATATATAGTCATGTTGGTTTGGTGAACTTGATGAGAAAGTTCACAAACCAAAAAAACTTGCATAGACCGACCATCACAAGATTTGCTACTTCCTTCATCACTCTTGCCCAGATCCACAAACAAAAAAACAATTTGAGGAAGATGGTGACTTCTCAAGAGTGGGAAGCGAGCAAGTGGTCTAAAGAACCACAGGTAAGAAAATAAAGTTACTTTTGCAAGAAACATTTTGGAGGAATGTACTTATTCTCTCAAGTTGACGGGCCCCTTAGTGAAAGTTCTTAGACTAGTTGATGGAGAAAAAAATCCAGCCATGGGGTACATCTATGAGGCAATGGATAGAGCTAAGGAGGAGATTCGTGATAGTTTTCGAACGAAGAGGATGATTACAAGAAAGCTTTTGAAATTATAGATCATAGGTGGGAATGTCAACTACATAAACCTTTGCATGTTGCGGGACATTTCTTGAACCCGGGGATCTTTTATGATGAAGTTGGTGGTGTGCTTTGTGAAGAAGTTGAAAACGGTTTTTATGAATGCATGTTGAGGCTTGTTCGCGACCAAGAAACTCAAGACAAAATTTCAGACGAGTTAGTTAAATACCGAAAGGCAGAAGGTCTCTTTGGTATTAGCTTGGCTGTTAGGCAAAGGAAAACAAAATCACCAGGTAAAAAAATGCTACTTTATATTTTAAGTTTTAAGTTATTAATTATTCTCTCAAATATAGTTTATGCTTCATGTTCATTTTGCTATACGGATTCTTAGTCTCACTTGTAGTGCTACAAGTTCTGAGAGAAACTGGAGTGTTTTTCAACAAGTAAGTTTTTTTTACATGTTTTTTCTTAATAATATTGCTGGAAAAAATATATATATATATATGCATAATGTTGCTAACATCCAGTTTTGGTTTTTTTCTTGTAGCTTCACACTAAGAAACGAAATAGATTAGCACAGTCTAGATTGAATGACATGGTGTTTGTGAAATTCAATCGTGCCTTGGAGCGCCGAGCTAAAAGTAAGGAGATCGATCCCATTCTTTTGCAAGATATTAATGAGAGCAATGAGTGGTTGATGGGAAGAATGGAAGATGATGAAGATGATGATGAGGCGGTGTTTGTTGGTGAGGATTTGACATGGAGTGATGTTGCTAACGCTTCCGGTGCATATGAGCCTAGTTATCTAACTAGAGCATCAAAAGTAGTGAATGATGGAGCTGGACCATCGAGAAATGATAAAGGAAAATCTCCTGCTCATAATCCTATCTCTAGTAGACCATCTCGTAGATGCTTAGTTGATGAAGATGAGATGGAAGAAGATATTGGAGTGTCTAGTGATGAAGGAAATGGTGTTGATCGAGTTGATGACGATTTAGAGGATTTTTAGTTATAAGGAATTGAGGGTTTAGAAAAATACTTTTGTTCATCTCACTTTAGACTACTTTTGGTGTAGACCATTTTTTGAGATTAATATGCTCGTATAATCGTATGGTTAATGGTATATAAGTATTTAAGTGTTTATAACTTATAAGTAATTTGAGAATTATATTTTGGTGTTTAAGCACTTATAAGTTTTGAATATATGCATTGACACTTTGATATTTAAGTATTTATAAGATAATTTATAAATATTATGTATTTTTTGTGAATTTCGGCCTTTTTGGCGTTTCGTGTGCATAAAGCGAGCGCTTTCGCTTAGCGCTTCGGCGTCTAGGACTCTAGACGCTTTAGGGCGCTTTACGCTTTTTAAAACCAAGCTTGCATGTTCTTAGTGGTGGCTACAATATCAAGACCGGCGGACCTGGTTGCGCAATTGATGCCATGAAAATAGACATGAGAGGTTCTGCAGCAGTTCTCGGTGCCGCAAAAGCTCTCGAGAATATCAGACCTCCTGGAGTCGAGGTAAATAATTGTCGCTATTCCCCCCCCCCAAACAAATCTGCGTCTTTTCTAAGCTTTATCTTAAAGGGGTGGGGGGAAAGGATGGGTACTATTTTCTTATGTTTTATTTGCTTCATTCATGTTCATTTGCTTAACCGATATCTGTATGGAATCTAGCTTGTCACCTAGTAAGTTATCCTTTTATGCAGGTTCATTTTATCGTCGCATCTTGTGAAAACATGATAAGTGGAACAGGTATGAGACTGTCACGGTTGGGAGAGAGGAGGAGAAACACGAAGCGAAGGGCATTGGGGATTCAGAAAATGAATTAGGTTGAGCTAGGGATTGCACGTAATGAATTGGGGAATTTTGATGTAGAGGAATTAAAAGGGGAGCATGTGACTCACATGGGAAAATTAACATGAAGAAAAGGAAGGGAAACAAGGGCCTTAGGATAAGCCCAAGCCAAAATAAGAGGAAACCTAGTTTATTGTGATTAAATAACCATGTACTGCAGAATATAGTTTTCATGTGTGAAAAGAACGAACTTTTTCTTATCTTGAATCTCTATTCTCTCGTCTACTCTCTCCTCTTTTCTTCTCTTCTTCGTCTATTTTTCTTCTCTATTTCTTGAGGGTCATAACAGAGACCTGGAGATATTCTCAGCATCAAATGGAAAGACAATTGAGGTAATACTTTGATTATGATTAGGAAAAGGAAATTCGAGGTATAGGTGAATAATATGGTGTTGTGACACTTTTAACCGGGAATAAATGACTTATTGCTCACTTTATCGGTTCCAGGTTAATAACACAGATGCAGAAGGCCGGCTTACACTTGCAGATGCTTTGGTATATGCTTGCAACCAAGGTGTTGAGAAGGTAAAGCTGGACGATGCACATCCGAAATTTTTGTTGACAGCTTTAAACCTGATATTTGTGGATTGCTTATTCTGTATGAATAACTAGGAGACTAGGTTCTCTAATTTTGCAGATACTTGACCTGGCAACTCTAACTGGGGCATGAATTGTTGCTCTTGGACCCTCAATTGCAGGTACATGCATGACATATATGGTTTAGGGTTTAATACAAAGAATTTCCTTAACACGTAAAGTCCTTTCTTGATTCTAGTCAGTTCGGAAGGCTGTTGCATTCATCGTTTTCTTGGTTATTACTCTATTGAAATTCATCGGAAACATTTTTCCTTTTCAGGCATCTTCACACTGAGTGACTAGCAAAGGAGGTATTCGAAGCTTCAAAGATCAGTGGTGAGAAATTTTGGAGGATGCCACGAGAGGAAAGCTATTGGGAGACGATGAAATCAGGAGTTGCTGATATGGTAAATACTGGTGGTTGTCAAGGTGGCGCTATCACAGCGGCTCTGTTCTTGAAACAGGTAAGTAATAACAGACATTTTTATCTGCAGTTTATGCAGCCCTGAATGCTCCAATCCTTTTGATACATTGTGGAGCTCGATTGTTGAACTATGGTTTTGCAGTTCGTCGACAAAAAAGTACAATGGATGCACATCGACTTGGCTGGCCCTGTCTGGAATGAAAAGAAGCGTGTCGCAACCGGCTTCGGCGTCTCGACTTTGGTGGAATGGATTCTGAAGAGCTCTTCTTGGATGTAAAAAGCTTGGACCGTGCTGTGGTGACAACAATCAGCATGCAGCTTTTGCTAGAGTTTCATGCAGCTTATGAATTTTGTAATTGTAATATTTTTTAAGGAAAATAAATTAGAAATAAATAAATTGTCATTTCATCATACATGAAATGCTTATAATATGGATTGCTATTTCGTTGTAATCAAGCAATTAGAGTTTCCGCTTTAAACTGGCATAGAAAAATGGTGAAATTTGACATTTTTAACACTTGATGAGTACTCAAGTGAGTTTTTGTGTCGCAAAAAAGGTCTAGTTGTGGTTTTACCCCTTTTACTGTGCTAAAATTTGGAATATTCTCTCAACTTTAATTTGGTATTATAACTTGGTCCTTCAACTTTACATGTTCAACCTATAATCAGACAAAATTGTTAGGGATATGGAATATGAGAGTGGCTAAATCCGTAATTAGACAAAAAAACAGAATGACTAAAGTTGTTTTAAAAACATTCACGTCATTCCGTTTTTAAAAGTAATTGATGGTAATATCTATTTGAATCTATTAATAATACTCTAAAAGTAGAAAGATTTTATCATGTCGAATAGTCAAATTAAATTCAAAATTTCAGTATGATAGGGACTAAAGACATGACCAAAAAATTGTTAGGATATATTAAGAGGGACTAAACCCGTAGATAGACCAAAAAAGTGACAAGGTAGTCGGATGTGTCACCATTTTTAGGATGTGGAATTTGAGAGGGACTAAAACAATAATTAAACCCTAAAATGCTACGATATATAATGATTGAACCAAACTTGAATCTAATACGAAAGCTTTTGATCCGGAGTCAGACAAGCTACCACTGCGTCACAGACACAGATACCTAGCGACAGCTTTGACGATGTAAAATTTTAGAGGGATTAAAACCGTAATTAGTCCCTTAAAAAGATATCAAGTGTTAAATTGTAGAGGCACTAAAACAGTAATTAGTCCTCAAAAAAGAAACTAGGTAAACGGGCTTATAACCCGACGTGAATCGAACATGCGACCTTCTGATCTAGAGTCAGACGCGCTAATGTAAAACTTTAGGACTAAAAGCATGGTGTTGGTTTTTGAAAAGGACTAAAACCATAATTAGACCAAGAAGGCGAGAAGAATGTAATGGAAGTAACAGCAGTTAATTCCTTTGACATCATGGTAAGTGGTAACACATATTATCTACATCTTCAGCGATAGGGAAAAAAAATGCTCAGAAGCCCTTTTGTAGTTTCACCAACTCCTTTTCCACTCTCAGCATACTGATTTCGATACCACGAACTGCATTTGCTTGAAATTTTAAAGCACAAGGATGCATGAACATCCACCAAGTTCATCGAAGCAATGTTTCGAAAGTTAACGAACTTTCATGATTTCCGGCATGATCTCACCTTAAAATCACCTAACTTGCCGTCCTTACTCCGTGTGACTTCGGAGACTAACAAAGCATGAAAGACAATGAATGATGGACTTCGGTCGTAAAAATGAACTAGCGATATCAGGTGTTTCCGGCTTGGCAACTCCGGGAGTGCAGAGGATTCAAGTTTCTACTTGAAACACAAGACAAAGAAACCCAAAGCATCTTTGCTCTCAACCATTGGTTACTTGTCTTGAAGCATCTCTAGACTGTTTTTTGCAGAAAATGATTCCATTTTGGGTAGGCAATAGGCATGGGTTAGAATTCTGCTGGAACTGAAGTTACCCAACGAGATACCGCTAAAAATCTGATAACTTCTACCTGTGGATGGTGGAGTTGGCCAAATTATGAATGTTTAAAAGAATGGAAAACTTACAACTGTTGAGATCTGCAATTCTGATTGTAAAGCTCAAAAAACGTCAAGAATACCCTATTCTGGACGTGTGTGAATGAATGATATTAATAGTCCAAGAGGTCAGAACAACAAAAAATTCCACTTTTCACATTCGGAAAATATAAGCATTGTATATATACAAAGATAGGGATATCCTACAAATGCCAAAAAGATTGCACAGTGCACTCATGCAAAGTCAATAACCCACAATTTGGAAAGTTCTACACAAAAACAGATATTTCATGAGCCTTCAACCCCCCCCCCCGCCACCACCCTGACTTACCTTGAAACACCTCCATATCGCCTAGATGAAAAACCAGAGCTTCGATAAGATTGACCTGCCCTTGGACAGTCTTTGGCCCAATGTCCAATTTGATGGCATTTATACACTCATCTGAGGTACGCCAAACACTTTCCCTGGAAGATATTCTATCAGTGTAATCCCTGCTCATAGACTGTGTTGGAACATTCATCACAGTGGGGCAATTCATAGAGCTATGACAGACAACATTGCAACTACTACAGAACAACTTTAGATTTGAGACGAATTCTCTAAGCCTGTGACCTCCAGCAATAGACAAACCATCAGTTCCTATTCCACAATAATCCATTCCAAGATTAGGAGTGGTAGTTGCTGCCTTTTATGAAACAAGGCAGGAATTGTTTGCTTTAATCTTATAAATCAAAGACAAAAGGTATCTGGATTCTGATGAAAATTTTATATTTTCTACTTCCACCACCATCGATTTAAGACGCAGTTTATCATTAAAAGTTTCTTCCTTTACTTTCAGCTTGAAAGTATATCTATTAAACATAATGTCGTAACCGGTTTTCGCCCGGACACGAATATTCTTTGGCGGAAAAGTAATGTGAATGAATAAATGGTTTTTTTAAAGAAATATTTTGGGAGTCGCCATTAATCTTTTTGGATAAGGTAGGTCGAAAAAATCATCTTTTAAAAGAGTTTTTAAGAAAAAACTATTTAAAAGGTAAACTGGCATGTGTATAACTAAAAATTCGTTCTTTTTAATAATAAAAAGGGGTTCGTGGTCGGTTGCGTTTGGGGAATGATTAGCACCCACAACGCCCAAAATTGGTACCTATTAATTATAAATTGTCTCTAATAATAGAATTTAAGAATTCGAATA